TATATTGTACCAATAATATAATATTGAATAAAGCTTATAATAATAAATAATAAATAAATAAATATTGGCATATGCGCTTGCTGTGCGTATGCCTCGATATTGTCTTAATTCACAAGTTTTTTGTAAGCAATGATGGATAGTGGCTAGCAGTAGCTGAGTAGATAACGCAATGGCGTTTGGAGCGAGTGGTACTGCGTTCTAGTCCCAGAGTGAACATCAACTCTAAGATACACGTACATCCAGCCGACGAGTCCAAAATAGGACGAAACACGCGTCCTAGATTCCACTGCTTGCCACTATTCATCATTGCTTACAAAAATACCTTAACAAATATTTTATCTCAAGTTATCAATGATTACTCATTACAGTCACACATACTACTGAATATAAATCCAGAATATTTGTTACACGGTATTATTGAATAAAACTGATGAAATATTAAGAAAATAAAAATTCTGTTGCTATGGTTAATAACAACCATACACAAATATAAATCATTTAAAAGACTTTTGTTTTATACTCTCTTATGTATATACAATGGTGGCATCGTTTTATTAATGGAATATATATAATAAGATATTACGTCATTATTCACGTTATTAAACAAAAGATCACGCAGTGATTTATCTCTTCTCGAAGATTCATTTTCTATAGAAGTGATCAAGATCATTCTCATATTTCTTTATATTCTTATTCCTTAAAAATACATCCGATGTTGTTTTGCTTTATTTTTTTTTTTACATAAATTAGAATACATTTCTGTTCATTGAATACTGAAGACAAACAAACAAAGAAACAAACAAAAGAACCAGTATCATGCATGATCTATTTCATAATTCATGCATTTATACAATGAAACGAGGATAAAAACCATTAGACAACATTCAGCTTCGATCATGTTTTTGAACATTTTCTAGACAATTGTGTTAGAAAATAACAAAACAAATTTGTACAATGTCTGTTAGTTTATAAAGAGAAAAAAAAAGTGATGAAATATGCTAAAACGAAAAACAAAACTATTTGTTAAATCGTTTATATGGTTATGTTAATTAAACAGATAAGTGATTTATGTAACTTGAGATGTAAAGTTTTCTTTTTATCATGGTTTTTCTAATGAAAGAATTTTCTAATGATAAGTTTTTAGAACTATAAATTTTTTGTTCATATTAAATGTATGTTGTAAGCAAAGATGGATAGTGGCTAATAGTGGAATCCAAGATACGCGTTTCATCTCATTTGAAACTTGTCAGATGGATGTATCTGCATTTCAGAGTTGATGTTCACTCCGGGACTGGAATCTAGTACCGTTCAATTCAAATGCTATCGTATTATTCACTTAACTATTATGACTCAGTAGATATATGGATAACGCGATGGGGTTTGAAGTGAATGATATTGGGTTGGAGTCCCGGAGTGAACATCAACTTTGAAGTACAGGTACATTCAGCTGACTAGTCTTGAATAAGACGAAACGCGCGTCCTGGATTCTACTGCTAGCCATCATCTATCTTTGCTTATAAAGCTTGTGATTTAAAGCAACACCGAGGCAATACCCACAGGATGCACATATGCAAATAAGAGACTGATCAATTGAATTCTTAAACAATAATGAGAAGATTCAAGTAAACAACACCAAGTGGATTTAAACGTATGTTGGTTTCAAATTTGTCAATTACACGTTTATTTGATAAAGTGCTGACAAAATTATTCCGTGATGTTAACACTTGAAATTATAATTGCTTTTCTCTACTTCTTACAATTGAAAAACATTTAAAACTCAAAACAACTGTCTACAAGCCAACATCAAACTCAAAATCTGTAATATGAATGTCAAGACAGTTCTATTGTCAATACTTGACGAACTAGTACCACTATCATCGAAAGTGTACAGGTATTTACAAACATTTGTCTACTCAAGATACTTAATGTCTCTTGACCGAATACCATCAGCAATATAAACTATGATAGAGAACAAACAAACATCCATCTGAAGAGGAAATTAGGAAATGACGTTGGGATTGGATAGGACATACAGTGAAGAAATCACCAAACTGTATCACGAGGCAAGCGCTTACTTGGAATCCTGAAGGGAAACAGGAAAGATGATAGCCAAAGAACACATTGAGTCGAGAATCGAAAGCAGACATCAAAAGGATGAATGACAACTGTCAACAAATGGGATGGAGAAGCTAAGACGAAATTGGTTGGAGGTTTCTGTCCAATGGCCTGAACTACTTTACGAGGGGTAACAGATGTGTGTAAGTAAGTGACTTTCTCTGATTCAATTAAGATTCTTAATAATAGTTTAGGTAAATAATGAGGTAGGTTTAACTAAAAATATACTAAAATTAATTTAATTTGGTCTCACTAATTACTGAACTTTCAGCTGAAACGGATGGTTGACAGAAACGATTTACTATTTAAAATTAAACTGCATCATAAACAAGTTGTAGACTGCTATTTATGTAGCAGTTTTTAAAACTTTAGGTCCAGACTATACGGAAGACATTATATATAAAAATTACATTTGAGTAATTCTAGCGATTGTTTATCAGTGATTTTTAGACGGATAAGTATGTTTTCTTTGACAAATCAATCAGATTACGGAAAGAAATCCAAAAACTGGTGATGGACATGTTGTAAGAGACAAGTGAAATCTGTTAACATGTTGTTACTAAAACAAGTAATATAAATTGGCATATCAAGAGAAAGAATAGCAAAAAAGTTAGCAACTTTAAATTGATGACCAGTTCATAAGTTCAAACACGAATCACGAATTTTCGAAGTAAAATTTTATGATTCCGGACAATTGAAATCAAAGAAATGATTTTATCAGTGTCAAACCGTATAGTCAAGCAACATTTCCCAGTCTATTCATTATTATTACTAGCTCCTAATCTTAACCTAAAACAATAATTTCAACCGGGACTACTAATCTTAATCTATTTTGAGTTTTTCATATGAATAATTATTCATTTATATCACCTACATTCCCATTGACTACAAGTGATTTTGTTTTCTGAAAGTCATTGAAAGATTTGTTTCTACCGTATTTTGCTTTGAAAAATAAAACAACTGAATTTTTCATGGAAGGGAATTTTACTTGATTGTTACTTGTTATTGAAGAAAGTTCAACTACTGATATTGTTTTTACATACATTTTTATGAAAGATTTGAATTCTATCTTTACTTTGTATGGTTAAACGTTTGTGTTATATATAATGTAAAACATAATTAATGTTATAAACGAATTTTAGACAATATAACTATATTGCTGTTATTGGTAAATTAAATTAATAACTAATTCGAATGGTTGGATCGTGAATGTGCAATGCTGAGGAGTCCCAAACTAAGGACGAGACGGTCGTTCAGTGCTTCCAGGTTTACCATGGAGGTTTAACTGCAATTGACTCACAAATTCAATTATTAAGTTAATGACTATTAGTTAAACAGATGACCTTACATTTAGTAAAATTAACAATTATCAAGTTGTGAAAAAGTGGTAATTCATCAAAATTGGATGCTCAAAAAAACAAACAAACATGAAACTGGACAAGAGAATATACGAAAAAAATAACAAAAATATGGTGTGTTTTTTGACATACTATTTAGTGTTTAAAATGTAAGAACACGAATTTTTCCATGGAACTTCGAAATACGACTTTAAATTCGGACAATTTCAAAGCAAAAGATCTCATATAGTGTCGATCCTCAACATGTCAATGGTTGGTTATACACTCTTACGAAGTCTAGAACTAAGAAAACATCCCAGCTATCACTTATTTCCTTATATCTAACTATTTACCCAAATGTCATTAACTTTGAATATCTGTAAAAGCTAACTACTACATAAATCACTTATTACCCAAAACAGATAATTAGTTATTTTCTTATCATTTCAGTGGATGGTTGTTATCTGTTTGAGAAATAAGACATAGATCAAGTAGAATATCACCAACTATAATAGAGCCATGTGATTATCATGTGATTACCGTTACCAGTGGAGTTCAACAAGGTCTGTTGTGAGAAATCAACTCATTGAAGACAATGGTGTACGGTGGCGCAACTTCGTGAATTGGTTGAAGTTAGACATTAACACCACTGGATGCCGGCTCAGTGGTCTAGTTGGTTAAGCGCCTGGTGCGAGACTGATAGGTCCTGGGTTCGAATCTCGCGGGGTGCGGGATCGTGGATGCGCGCTGCTGAGGAGTCCCATACTAGGATGAAACGGCCGTCCAGTGCTTCCAGGTTTTCCATGGTGGTCTAGCTTTAATTGACTCACGATTTCAATCAGTGAAATTTCTAAAATCTCCACAAAACCCCTTCTGATTATAATTATTACTGGCTACAATTGCAAATAATATAGAAGCATTTGCTTTTTGCTTTTTTTAGTTAAATTTACATCAGTTGAATAGATTGTTTTAATTTGTATATCTGTGCCTTCTTTCAAATGTATAAGAAATTTGACTTTGTTCATAGATAGAAAATTTCAAATTAATTTCACTTTGTAAAGCATGAAACAACGAATTCAATTATTTGGCGCCAAGTATTTCAACATTTCACCAATTAATCATTATGATATTCTTCAAAACTCAATAATAATAAATAATGAAATAAGATGAAATAACAAAAACAAATACATAAGAAATTTTATAGTTGAATTCATAAGTCAACTGAAGCTAGATCATCATGGAAAACCTGGAAGCACTGAGCGACCGTTTCGTACTATTGTCGGACTCCTCAGTAGTGCGAATCCAAGATCCCCCTTCTTGAGATTGAAACCCAAGACCTATTGATCTTGCACTCGAACGCTTAACCACTACATCACTGAGCTGGCATCCACTAGTGTTAATGTTTAATTTTAACCAATTCACGAAATTACGCCACCGTCTACCATTGTCTTCAATGAGTTACTATCTCATAACATATATAAGAAACAATAACCAATATGTTTTTTTTCTTATTGATAATAATAAAACAATTCAATAAAGCAAACTTACATATCATCATTCATTTTCTTCAATTATCAGTAGTAATATCTATATATAAGTACTATATCCACACCAGTAAATATTTTTTTCAAAAAAGTATGATTCACTTTAGTAAATTAATAGAAATTCCCATTTATTATTATTATAAGTTATCCAACATCCTATAAAATTAAATTCATAAACATGTAAGATATTTGAAAAATAGTAAATTATGTTTAATTAGACATCTGATTGGCTTTTCAAACGAACCAATCAAAAAATCATTTTAGTCAAGTTAAACTGTCTAGGATTTTTATTATTATCAGAATGAGGTTTTTGTGAAGATTGTAGTAATTTTGATGTAAGATAGACCACCATAGAAAAACCTGGAAGTACTGGATGGTCGTTTCGTTCTAGTATAGGACTTCTTAATAGTGCGCATCCACGAACCCCGTCGTGGAATTCGAACCCGGAACCTTTGGTTTCGTGCGAGAACAATCAACCCCCAGACCACTGAGCCGGCATCCACCAGTGTTAATGTCTAACTTTAATCGGTTTATGAATAACCGCGCAACCATTCATTCATTGTCTGAGGTAGATACCAATCTCTACCTGACTCCACTGGTCACGACTTCTCACAAAGAACTCTAGTTTTTGACATCATTTTCTGCAATAACGAATTACTACTTCAAAACAAAAAAACATTTTATAGGTTAAATTATCAATGTTATTTCATCTACGTATACAGGAACAGATAATTGTTTTGTGTTTACCAGTTATTTCATTTTTAAGTTATTTTATCATTAAGTCAATACAGATGATTAACACGTGAACATGTTATGTGTTACTAATTCTATTATTTAGACATAAATATAACAGTTAACATTTAAGAAGTTTTGGAACAAAAAATTAGAAAAATTTTGTGGCATCTAGTAAAAGATACAAATGTATACGGTGAAAAATGTAAGTTATTCTTCAGAATTGTTATACAATTACCGAAATCATACATTTTGATTGATATACACATAGCTTGTTCTTAATATACCAACCTTTTAAAATTTAATTCCTTTTTTATAACTTTAATTATTAGCTACGATATGCTTGTAGTTTACAATAGAAGAAGAGATTCTGACTGAATGTGTTTGAATACAAGCTAATATGGTAGATGGTTAATTAGTAATTTATTATAATGTATTCAAACAGTTCAACATTATTTAAAATTGCTCTATAGCTCAGTCGGCATGTTGATATTTCATAGATTGTTTTTTCAATTATTGATGAACAGTTGTTTATCATTTACTACATGATATAACTTATTAAATTGGGGTATTAGCACCAATGGCTTACAAACATCAACATGAAAGGTGCTGGGGTTAGAATCTTGGTATGAACACTAACACTTGGTGGTACATCCACCTGATAAGTCCTAAATAAGACAGGACATGAATCTATTACTCCAATTTTAACTACTATCATATATATAAATAATCCAGAGTATTGTTCTAAGCGATGAAAACTGTTTGTTAATAATTGCAAAGTGGCAACTGGATACATAAAGTCTGAAAGACTGATAAACATGCGATCAAATTGACTATTTATTATTTTCACATGGTTATTAAATAAAGGGCTGAACGAAACTGCACAAGATAATTTAGTTTTAAAACATGCACATTTATTTTGAATTTCGAGTCCCGGAGTGACCATTAACTCTGAGATGCAGGTACGTTCAAACGACTAGTTGCAAATAGGACGAAACCTGAAAAAGGTATTTCCTGGAGTTCTAGTGAGAAGCAGAGACCGGTGGAGTTCAACTGATTCTATTGTGAGATAGTAATTCACTAAAGACAATGGATGATGTGCTGCTCAATTTCGTGAATTAGTTGAAGTTAGACATTAACACTGGCGGATGCCAGCTCGGTGGTCTAGTGGTTAAGCGCTCGCGCGCGAGACTGATGTGTGTTGAGCGGGATCGTCGATGCGCACTTCTGAGGAGTCCGACAATAGGACAAAACAACCCTCCAGTTCTCCCAGGTTTTCCATGGTGATCTGGCTTTAATTGCTTCGTGATCTCATCTATTGAAAGATATAAAATAGATGGAAAAGAATAAGACTATAGTGATGATTTATGTGATATTGATAGAAGGAACCTAGGAACCTAGGTAACTTATCCGTTAGTGGAGGAATCACAGAGGTTAGCTTCATTAAATATTCTCTTAACTGCTCTAGTCAGCCTATCCTGTAGTTTATCACCAGCCATATCCCCACCGAACTGCAGCTTTAGGAAGAGAGATGTCGTACTTGCCGTTGATATCTATATTATCTTATTTGTTATATGCAATTATTTCTTCAGGAAACCTTTTTGGATAACTCATTTGAATCAACATATTATGCATGAGCCCTAATTCCTTGTTTATTGTATCAACTAAATATATCTTCCCAGCTCTATTTACAAGATATCTAACGAGTTTTCTCTTATAATGAAAGGGTACAAATCTCAAGAAATGTGTGTACCGGCTTGCTGAAGGACAGTTTCTGTACACACTTCTACTGATAGAACCGTTTTCTTTTCTGTTTAACAAAACGTAAACGAAATGTAGTTTATTATCAAGTTCTTCTTCACACGTGAATTTGATTGTTGAGTGATTATTGCTAAATAGCTCTAAGAGTTCTTCATTTCTCAATGTTCCGATCGACAATAATGAAATTGTCATCGATGTAACGACAAATGACGTCAAACTTATAGATAACCTCTTTAAGAGATCCGTTATCTAGTTTCTCAAGAGAAAAATGAGCAAGGATAGGACCTAGAGGTGAACCCATCGCTATACCATCAATTTTTTTATCATATGGAAATTCATTGCACATTTCAGGATTAATTGTTTGAGTCTAACCTTGAGAATTTCAATATTGATCTGTTTTTCAAGTAGTTGTTGGGACACAAACTCTCAATTAATGGTACGTTGGTGAACAAGGAAGTAACATTTAGATAACATCCGTTTTCTATTTAAGGTCGTATCTTCCGCCTTAGAAATGGGATTGAAAACGTCTTTCACACTTTTCTTGATGACCAATTTGTGTAAGGAATGTAGGATTCGAGCTAACCACTTTTCAGTTTTGTGTTGTGATGAATTATACACATCTAAAACTGGACGAAGAGGAAGTTCAGCCTTGTGAACTTTTGATAAAACATAGAATCGCGGTGTGTTCAATTCAATGGGTTTAAGTGAATCATGAATGGATGAAGTAAATATTCCTTTATTTCTTAATTCTTGAAGTGAATTAGTCAGTATTCTCTCTGCTTTCATATTTATTTCCTTAACGTCGTTGAATTGGTGAATTTTAGTTTAATCATTCAAAAGTGAGTTCATTTTATCAATATAATCAGCTTTCTTCATTAGAACTATCCCTTATCCTTTGTCCGATTTGCTTATGATTAGAGTGTTATCTTTTCTCATCATATGTAAAGCATTTTGATTTTGTTTGATAAATGGAGAATTCATAATATATTTACTATTTTTGTATTGTTGGCAGATGCTACACTATCAATTCGTACTTTTCACTCATTATGTTTATATATATAATCTATTCCACTGTTATCATTGTCTCATACACTGCCTTGAATAGTTTAAAATTGTCATGTATATACACTACTGTACATTAGAGTAAAGCGTATTTATTTATTTATTTTATTTTATTTGAGCACATAAAGATTGGTACAAGAGTGCGCCAAATAAATATGCGCCACAAAAAACAATGAGAAGGAAAAAGAAGAAGGTAAGGAGCGTAAAAAAAGAGAACGATAACGAAGAGGTTGGTGTAAGGTAGTGTAATGATAATAATGGTTATAATAATGTAAACGGAAAGGTGAAATCAGAAGAAATCTTTCAGTTAGGGAAGTTACAACCACTTTCTACGAAGAAAGTAAAAGAAGTTTACAGCAGGATCGCCACTGACTTCTATTCTGAGCCATATCTGATAACGTCTCTAACCACTGTGTAGCACCATCTCTCGGACCCCAGTCAGGGAGTCGTCAAGGACCAACAAAAGCCAGTCCTTTGCAGCTTTCTTTCACCCCACGACACCATGTCATATACTGACCACCTCTCCGCTTTTTCCAACGAGTTCCAGAGTGGGCAAATAATCGAATTCTCTGGAATGACATTCGTAGAACATGTCCAAGCCACCGAAGTCGGTGTTTCAAGATGGCGACACCGATTGCATTATCGTCTCTGTGCCCGAACACACGATGCCAAACCTCTGCATTGGATTCTCATCAGGCTTTACTTTAACATACTCTAACACTAACATATGTTAGCATGTTAGAGTAAAGTCTGATGAGGATCTAATCAAAAATAATATATTTCACTTATATATGCTATTCACAATAAAGAAATTTCAAATCACTAGAATATCACAACTTGCATTTCATACTATAACACATGAATAGATACTGATATTACTAAATTAATATAATTAATCAGAATATAGCTGAAATATTGAAGGAAATTACTGAATTATTTGCATAATCGAATAATTTGTAGCTTAGTGATAGATAGTCAAGACCCTTAAAAAAAAACAATATACAACAATAATTATTGATTAAATTTAATTAGTTCCCTTATTGTTATTTAGATTTATGAATGTTTATTCCTTTTTAATTTAATTACAAAAAAATGATTTGTCAAGTTATATATAAATAAAATTAGAATTATTTAATAAACATCTTCTTTTTGGTGATGTCATCTATCATCATTTTTGTCAGTGAAGTAAACATCAACTCTTGGATGTAGGTAAAGCAAGTTGATGAGTTCTAAATAGGATGAAACTCACATCCTAAATTCAATGGCTAATCATCATCCATCTTTGATTATAATGCTTTTGAATTAAGGCAATATCGAGACAATACTTACAGTATGCATATATGCCAATAAGAGACTAATCAATTGCAATCTGAAACATCAATAGGGAAGATTCAAACAAACAATACAAAATGAATAATAAATATATTTTTGTTATAACCCAATCATAGGAAAAATTGTATTGCTGACGTTTCAATTATTTATTTACTCTGAAGAAGTGGCTTACATTACATCATGAAACGTCAGAAATACAATTTTTCTACGCATTGGGATATAATAAAAAATATATTTATTATTAATTTTCTGTATAACACTCA